TTAGGTACGACCGTAGGAATTAATTTTTCAATTGCATTAATAGCCAGAAAAACCTAGCCCTAATCAATAACACGCTACGGGGGTTATTTAAATTAGATTGCACGTTCCCCTAATGTGTAAACACACCAGTTGCCTAATCAATCAAACAATTACGGATTTAATTGACTAAATTGGCACGAGATTAATAAATCACATTGAATATCGGGCCCTTGAGATCCAAGTAATAAAATAATCCCATGAAAATACAAGCAGGCAACGTGCAAATATTAATAAATTAAGGAGCGCGTGAAAACTAATTAGATCTCACAAATTTTCGGGACTGCGCCGTCGAGTTGACCCTTGACTAGATGGAAGACTTAGCCACGCCGCATAATTAAATCACCACACGAGTTAATAAATTGCGAAGGCATTGTTTTTTACTAGAAAGTAAGGAATAAAGGATGTTTTTCTCGTTGGGGAATATTGTCGAACACCTGACGTGCGTCAGAGGCCAGTCAGAGAAAGAAAACTAAAAACTGAACTAAAAGCTAAAACTAAAAGCCGTCTAAAAAGGATCTCCTTTTGCTTCTGTACGTCTTCCCTTAAAAAGCCAAAAGAAAGAAGCCTAAAAGCTATTTCCTGTGGTCCCCACACATGTGGACAAAGCCTCCAAATTACTTCTTGGTCCAAGTCTCTCTACGTTGCTTTCTTTGAAAGGCCAAAATGACTAAATGCCTTTCACTAGTTTGTGGTCCCCACCAATTCAAGAGTCCAAGGTCCTTAGGAGTCTCCATTTTTCCATAAAAGTCCCTTCTTTTTGGTAATTTTCTACTTTGTTCCTGAAATTAAGTCCCAATACCAAATATAAGTAAATATTAATAATTAAAACAATATTTGACAAGAATAAAAGGGGAAATTAACAACAAAATTATTAACAATTAACACCCTATCAATTCCCCCTACACCTAAATCGTGCTTGCCCTCAAGCATGAGAACAACAATTGAACTCCAAAATTTGACCATGGCTGTTACTCCAACTGCCGTATTGCCAAGACACCAAGAAAATCATATATCAAGCGACACAGGTCAAGATCCAAGAAAAATCATTTCGGTTAGCATCTAAACTACCAACTCCTCCAATTTAAAGCAAACTAATCTAAGAAAAAGGAATGGTTGATCACATTTATCAGCAAACGGTCCAATTATTAACCAAAATCTCGACATTAAGATCACAAATAGGCAAGCTGACTTTTTTTTTTTTTTTTTTGGGAATAGCAAAAGACTTAGTCTCTAGCCATTTAGAACCTTTTGACGCGAACTCCAGCATTTGTCAGATGAAGGAGCCCGGTTACTCAGCTCCTATCGCTATATGACCACGTACTCATAGAAATCACTACCTTTTGACGCGAGAATCGACACTTTAGGTGAAAATCCCCGGTTACTCGGTAGTAGCAACTAGCGGAGCACAGTCAATTCTTATTTATAACCATATAGCACAATAACTAAAAACAACACAAAAATAGCAGCGGTCAGCTCCAAATTTCCAAACATGGAGAACTAAAATTAATAATTGGACCAATTCACATGAAAAATGTCAACAATCATTCCCTTTGCCTAGAAAAGTTAACTAAAAATTGGAAAAGTTAAGTAATTATTGATATTCACCAAAGAGATGTTCCTGAACTCAACCACATCAACTTGATACATTTTTATTAATAAACTTGGCAATAGCAGAATTAGAGACAACAATCCAGTACTAAAAATAGAACAAATAACAAAAATAAAGGAAAACATGTAAAAACTAAAAATTAGAAATACTAGCTGAACCACAGCTGTCCCCCCCCCACACCTAAATGACACATTACCCTCAATGTGATAATGTAAAAGCAGAAGGAATGAGAGGGGCAACGGTACTTCCCTGAAGTTGTCAAAACAGGGGTGGGTCGGGCGGGGTACTGCCCAATTCTGCACCATGTTATGAAGATTGACCGTAATGTGGGGCATCCGAGTCTCTAGTCTCTTAACTTGCATCTGGAGCTCGTGCCATTCGTGGCTTCATCATGGACTCTAGATATCACTCTAAGCAACAAGAGACTGCAATTGCCAACAAATAATGGAAGCCGGGAATTCAAAGCAATAACAATTTTAAAGCCAACCCAATGAATAAAATGCACAATTCAACCACCCAGAGGACATACAAATACCCCAACACTTATAGCAATGGCAATCAATAAGCACTTGCTGTCCCAATGTAGTCAATCTCAGAATCAATGCAGTCCAAAAGTGAACGAATGCTCCTAAGATGTAGGACTTGAATTTAAGAGGCAGAATACACCAAGCAAGTCAATTAGGCACAATCGATTAGCAATAAGCAAAGGAAGGGACACAGCAGCCTTCCAATTCAACAAACAGACGCAGAAGGTACCCCACAATACCATAACACAGCTCCCAACAATGCAACAAAACAACAACTCGAACAACTAAGAGCGGTGCTAGTGGCTAATCAAAATAACAAATTCAGCAATTGGACACAATTCCACCCAAAATCTCAACAACTGTCTCCAATTGGACAGTCAATTACACAGTTCAACCTACTAAAAATAGCAAATGACCCCAGAGAGGAGGAATTCCAGCAACCGAAGTGCAGAATCCTGGCAACACTTTAAGCACAAGAGGCCAGTAGTCAATTAGGCAGTCAAGCACTTAAGATTAAGAAATTTGAGGCAAACTACTGCTACCAGTACCACTGGTAAATGCTAAAGGAAAAAGTAAATCAAATGGCCAACCAAAGCCACTAAGAAATACAAACAATTTCAGACAGTACTTCGAGAGCCTAAACAAACGACAGTTATATCAAACCAGGCGAATCAGCTGCAGGACATAACCTAACCCACTGGCTCCAGTAACACAGATGCAATCCAAACAAAATTACTCAATGAAATCGCAATCATCAAAATCCCATCAACATCAAGAAATTGGAATCGGGGACCAGAAAATTAATAAAGAAAAACCTGGCACCAGGGAGGTTGGGCTGTTGGCGTGCGGCGGTGGGCTCGTGGGCTTCGGCTGGAGAAAGAGTTCGGCGAGGAGGCGGAGCTTGGGCAGGCGGCTGGTGGCATCGTATGGAGAGAGGCGCGGCGAGCCTTGGCCGCGAGCTGGTGGTGGAGCGAGTGGGTAGGAGGAGCTGCGCGCAGGTGAAGATTCGGCCGTGGCCTGTGGGTGAAGTGGAGAGAGAGCAGAGGGAGCTTGGTGGCAACCTTGGTTTCTGTTGGCAGCTGTGGCGGCTAGGAGTTGCGGCAGGGAGGAATAATTAGGGAGGCGGCCGTCGACGGAAGTCTGTCAGCTTGGGCTTCGTCGACGAGCTGTGGCGGCGCGCGAAGAGCTGGTGTCACACGAGGTGAAGCTGGAGCTGGAGGGAGGCGCGGCGAGGTCGCGCAGCTCAGAGGTGGAGAAAGGCGGAGATCTAGCGGCTGGCGGTGGGCCTGTTATGCGGCGCGCGATGGTGGCTTGGAGGCAGAGGCGTGCGAGTGAAAGGAAGAATTAGGGAAACAGAGGCAGCGAGGAAGAAGGAAGAAAGAAAAGAAAGAAGGGGAAATTTTTTTTTTTTTTTTATTGCACACTCAAATTTCAAAACTCGAATTGTGAGAACCAAAACTGAAGGTGTAAAACGGAAAATGTTTTTATTTTGAATTTTTTTTTTTTTTAGTTTTTAGGTCGTCAAACACCGCGCGGGCACGCCAAGATTAGAGAGCATCCACTGTCTTCGAGAGTCACCTTTCGCACTTTAACGCGTGCCCTCCTCGCGTGGGCACGCCAAGATTCTACTTTCTGCCGGCGTCGCGAGATGTTGAGAATTTACCAACATGGCACGGGCACGCCATGTTTTACAAACATCCTCTGCCCATGGGACTTGGACTTAGACGCTGAACGCGTGCCCTCCTCGCGTGGGCACGCCAAGATTACCTATCCTGATCAAAGTTAGAAAACATCAAGAGTGACTAGTACCCACGTGAGAAACGACCTAATTAAATAATTAAGCACTAAAACAACAAAATTAACAATTGGGGTGCCTCCTAAAAGCGCCTTTCTTTAACGTCTTTGGCTAGACGTTGTCCAAAACTTTGCTTAAACTAAGCAAATCGAGTCCTCTAAGTGCATCATCTCCACCCGCTCAATTGGAACACCTTCATAATATGGCTTGAAACGGTGACCATTCACTACAAATTTCTTCTCAGTTTTCAAACTTTGGATCTCGACTGCACCATAATGAAAGACATTAGTCATAACAAAAGGGCCAATCCAACGATAGCGTAATTTACCTGGAAATAATTTCAATTTGGAGTGGTACAGTAGAATTTTTTGCCCACACTCGAATGTCTTCCTTGAGATCTGTTGGTCATGAAAAATCTTATTCCTCTCCTTATAGATTACCGCATTCTCATAGGCTTCATTGCGAATCTCCTCCAACTCCTGTAACTGTAACTTTCTTTGGATTCCGCCCTCCTCAATATCCATATTGCATTGTTTTACCGTCCAAAATGCTCTATGCTCGAATTTCACTGGAAGATGGCAAGACTTACCAAATACCAACCTATAGGGAGACATCCCTATAGGTGTCTTGTAAGCGGTCCTGTATGCCCACAAAGTATCTTCCAACCTTGAACTCCAGTCCTTCCTATCAGGGCGGACCATTTTTCCAAAATAGACTTTATTTCCCTATTCGAGACTTTAGCCTGGCCATTGGTCTGTAGATGGTAGGAAGTGAAAACTTTATGAAGTACACCATATCTCCTGAACAAAGCAGCAATTGTCTTGTTGCAAAAATGCATCCCCCTATCACTCACAACTGCCCGTGGCATTCCAAATCGCACAAAAATGTTAGACTTTATGAAATCTGCAACCACCTTAGAATCATTAGTGCGGGTGGCTTTTGCTTCCACCCACTTCGAGACATAATCCACTGCTAGTAAAATGTATAAAAATTCACAAGAATTTGGGAAGGGACCCATGAAATCTATACCCTAAGTATCAAAAATTTCAATGAAAAGCATGGGCACCTGTGGCAGTTGATCCCTTCGGGATAAATTGCCTATCCTCTGACATTTATCACATGTCTTACAAAACACATAGGCATCCTTAAACAATGAAAGCCAATAAAATCCACTTTCTAAAACCTTATGAGCAGTTCTCCTGGGTCCAAAATGACGTCCACAGGCAAAAGTATGACAAAAAGCTAAAATCGATTGAAATTGCATTTCACTTACACATCTCCTCATCACCTGATCCGCACACCTCTTCCACAGGTACGGGTCATCCCAGATAAAATACTTGACGTCGCTCTTCAATTTATCCCTCTTCGATTTTGGCCAACCTGCAGGAAAATTATCGGTTACCAAATAATTGACCAGATCAGCATACCAAGGCAATTGAGAATTTAAAGAAAATAAATGCTTTTCAGGGAATGCATCCTTCAATGGTTCACTATCCTCTCCAACGGGGATACGACTCAAATGGTCGGCTACTAAATTCTCTGACCCTCTTTTATCCCTTATCTCCAGGTCAAATTCCTGTAGGAGCAATATCCACCGTATGAGTCTCGGTTTCGCATCTTTCTTGGTCATCAGGTATCTCAATGCTGCATGATCAGAAAATACAATCACTTTAGCACCTAACAAATATGACCTGAATTTTTCTAAAGCAAAAATAACTGCAAGAAACTCCTTCTCAGTGGTGGAGTAATTCAACTGGGCTCCATTCAGGGCGTGGGATGCATAATAGATGACGTAAGCTGCCTTTCCTACTCGCTGCCCCAATACAGCCCCTACAGCATGGTCACTGGCATCGCACATGATCTCAAATGGTAAATTCCAGTCAGGGGGCTGGATGATTGGAGGTGAGGTCAACAATTCCTTCAACTTGTCGAAGGCTCTCTCACACTTGTCATCAAACTCGAAAGCTACATCCTTTTGTAGAAGTTGGAACAACGGGGCTCCAATTTTTGAAAAATCCTTGATGAACCTTCGGTAAAAACCTGCATGTCCAAGAAAAGAACGCATCTCCATAAACATTTGCGGGGTAAGGTAATGCCGATATAATGTTTATTTTAGCCTTGTCAACCTCGATGCCCTTAGACGATACAACATGACCTAAGACTATCCCGTGGTCAACCATAAAATGACATTTTTCCCAATTAAGCACAAGATTAGTTTCTATACACCTTATCAGGATCAATTTCAGGTTATCTAGACATGTATCAAAACTAAAACCATACACACTGAAATCATCCATAAAAACTTCAATAATTTTCTCCACATATTCTGAAAAAATACTTACCATACACCTCTGGAACGTTGCAGGCGCATTGCACAACCCAAATGGCATTCGTCTATAGGCAAAGGTCCCGAACGGGCACGTGAATGTTGTCTTCTCTTGATCCTCTGAGGCAATTGCTATCTGAAAGTATCCTAAAAATCCATCCAAAAAACAATAGTAAGCCCTACAAGACAAACGTTCAACCATTTGGTCAATGAAAGGGAGAGGGAAATGGTCCTTTTTGGTGACGGCGTTTAGCCTACGGTAGTCTATACATTGCCTCCATCCAGTGGGCTTGCGCACTGGCACGAGTTCACCCATTTGGTTAGCTTCTACCGTCATTCTTGCCTTCTTTGGGACTACCTGGACCGGGCTCACCCACGGTTTGTCTGATATTACAAAAATGATCCCCACATCTAACAATTTTAAAATCTCTATCTTTACAACTTCCATCATGAGGGGGTTGAACCTCCTCTGAGCTTGCCGAACAGGTTTAGCATCCTCTTCCAGTCTAATCCGGTGCATACAGACGGCCGGGCTGATCCCCTTAATGTCTGCGATTGTCCAACCTATCGCCTCTTTATGCTCTCTAAGGACCCGGATCAGTTTCTCCTCTTGAATTTTTGACAATGCTGACGAAATAATCACCGAGAGTGTCTCATTGTCACCCAGATACGCATACTTCAGGTGCTCTGGTAGGGGCTTCAATTCCAAAACAGGTGCCTGTACCACAGATGGCAATACCCTCTGGTGAGGTTCGGGAATAAAAATAGGCAAGACTTCATACCTTTTTGTGGTGGTCGGCAATGAGTGTAATGCACCTACTGTGCATTTTAGATTCTCGCTCCACTCCACCTCAGGAGTTGTCTCCAACTCGAGGTGCTTGGTTAAAGCCACCTTCAACTCATCCCTGCCAACAGTTTCAAACACTTCCTGCACTACAGGGTCAATAGTATTCACAGAGAAAACTGAGTTAAGTTGGAGTTTGAGGGATATTTCATGGTATCGAAGATATTAAAATACACAATTTTCCCATCAAACTCCATGGATAAGGTACCCTTATTAACATCAATTTTTGTTTGTGCTGTACTCATAAAGGGTCTACCTAACAACAAAGGTGATGGATCGGGGGAGTGATCATCATCCATATCAAGTACATAAAAATCAGCTGGAAACACCAAATCATTAACTTTTACCAATACATCTTCAACCAACCCATCAGGATATGCATTAGTTCGGTCAGCTAATTTAATGATTATTCCAGTTTCTTTTAATGGACCTATTTTCAGAGAAGCATAGATAGATTTAGGCATGACATTAATTGATGCTCCCAAATCCAACATGGCCCTTCGAATCACAGTATTACCTATCCTACAGGGGATAGTAAACATACCTGGGTCCCCGCACTTGGGTGGAAGCTTCCTCTGCAGGACCGCTGACACATTCTCCCCAACAATGATCCTTTCATCTCCTCTCAATCGCCTTCGGTTGACACACAAGTCCCTTAGAAATTTGGCATATTTTGGTACTTGTTTGATGGCGTCTAAGAGGGGAATATTTATCTCTACCTTGCGAAACATCTCCAAAATCTTCTTCTCCTTATCCTGCTTCTTCGATTTTTCCAACCTGCTAGGGAAAGGAGGTGGGTTAGTTTTAACTGTAATTATTGGGTCTGGAAGTACCTTTGGATCTGCACCATTGCTGTCCTCCCTCTCAAGCTCATTTTCAATCTTTTCCTCATCCTTATCCTTAGGGATCACAAGTTCAGGCCCCTGAATTTTCTTCCCGCTCCTTAGAGTCATTGCGCTCACGTTCTTCGGATTTAATTCGGGCTGAGACTGCAATTTACCTTGGTTTTGGGAATCCAAACGGTTAATTGTTGTGGCCATTTGACTTATCTGATTCCTTATGTCCTGCATTTCGGAGTCCGTCCTTTGCTGATTTTGCATAATGGTTGCCTCCGTCCTTTGCTGATTTTGTGTCATGGTTGCCATCATTTGTTTCATCATCTCCTCCAAAGATGGGCCAGAGCTCTGGGGCGGAGGTGGTCGAGGTTGGTATTGCTGCTGGTACCCTGGTTGCTTATTTGGCACGAAGTTAGACTGCCTGTTCGGTGCAAAGTTGGGCTGCCTATTTCCTCCATAACTGAGGTTGGGATGATCTCTCCACCCGGGGTTGTGGGTATTTGAGTAAGGGTCGTACTGCTTTCTTGGCGCGGGCGGGTGGCCAGTCATGTTCACCTGTTCTGCAGTTTCTTCCTGAAGCATTGGGCACATGTCTGCAGAGTGATCCATACCAGTGCAAATCCCACACACTCTGGCCTGAGATGCATTCCCTACAGCCAGTTGCCTAACAAACGAGGTCAACGCAGTTAGCTGCTGCTGCATAGAGAATGTCTCTATCTCATTCACCTTACGTATTGGGACGTCCTCTCTCGAACTGAATTGTTGTGAATTCTCTGCCATCCCCTCTATTAACTCCCGTGCTTCCTAAGGGGTTTTGTTCACCAGTGCCCCTCCACTTGCAGCATCAATTATGCTCCTGTCTCTGAAAAGGAGCCCCTCATAAAAATACTGTATGAGCAACTGCTCACTTATTTGGTGTTGGGGGCACATTTTGCACAACTTCTTGAACCGTTCCCAATACTCATAGAGTGACTCCCCTGGGTGCTGCTTGATCCCGCAAATTTCTTTCCTTAGACTCGCAGCCCTGGATGCAGGAAAATATTTATCTAAAAATTTTTTCTTCAATTGGTCCCACGTGGTGATGCTACCTGGTGGTAGGTAGTATAACTAGTCCTTTGCAGAGTCCTTCAAGGAAAAGGGAAATGCCCTCATTTTTATCTGCTCTTCTGTAATGCCCAGGGGCTTCATACTATTGCACACGACATCAAATTCCTGTAGATGCTTATACGGCTCCTCACCTGGTAAACCATGAAAAGAGGGTAAAAGAGAAATCAGACCAGATTTTAACTCGAATGAAGTGTTTTCACTCAAACTCGGGAAAGTAATGCACAAAGGCTGCTGATTTAAATTAGGGGCAGACAACTCCCTTAATGTTCGTGCATTAGCCATGGGGATTTCTTCTTGCTCCGAGTCACTCGAAGTGTCACCAAATGAATCTGTTGGTTCAACTCCTGACTCAGGTCTCTGAGATGTAGCACTGGAGTGCTCCTCTCTGAGCTGTCTGGTTTCCTTTCTCGTTTTACGCGCGGTCTTCTCTACTTCAGGGTCAAAAATTAAATCACCTGTACGAGAAGACCGACAATTAGGCTTTATTGTTTTTCTCAATTCAGCCCCACAATCACACACAAGTAATGTTACTAACATAACCCTTCAATTAGACTCCAAAATCATCCAATTACAACACAAGTGTGATAATACAATCGGAAATCAGTTTTAAAGACAAAAAGCTAAATAGCAGATTTGACATCTTATAGTATTTCGGTCACAAATGGAACTACGCTTATCGGATTGAGGCACACTTTATACCGATTCGAAGCTAAGACAAAGGGCTAAAACTTGTATGAAGATAACTCAACCCAGTTCATAGTTGATCTAGGTCGAATTTACAAATTACAGAACCCGAAGTTCTTGATCAGTCGGGTTGTCAGTACTGAATTCAAATGGCAATAACTCAACCTACACAATTCCAATTGAAGCTTTTTCAGATGCGTTGGAAAACTGAAACATAGGGCTAAAACTTTTGTATTTTGGTCAAAGGCTGATTTGATACGGATCAAGGCGAAAAATGAAGTCAGAAATGGGAAATCTCGAAACTGTCCATGAAATGAGGCTTTTGGCAGTCAGGGGTATTTCGGTCTTTTTACATGCTACCGTACTCCAATTGAGCTGAAATTTTATAGGAAGCTATATCACACCATTTTCTACAACTTTTATGTTTTGACCTAAGCCTGATTCGGCCTCTAGCATACACGAATAAAGCTGGTCAGAACAGAGCAGTTTCAATTCTTAAATCTGGAATTTAATGCATTCAAGGTATAAACTTCACATTTCTAACTTGAACCACTACTTCAATTTCCTATACAATATTATAGATATCATATGCTCTCTAAACAACAAGGAATACAACTGAACAACTCAAAATCCACTATATCCATCAAAACTACCAAAAGGCTATCATTTACCACAAATATAAGTTGTTATCCACACTTAATCAAGTTTAAGGAAGAGATAAAGGAAAGGCAACCATGTACCTCTCTAAGATGCTTGCAAGAGAAATCCTTCACCTTTCCTTTCCAAACTTTAGCACCACAAGCTTCCTAAACTCCCAATTTAGAAGGTAATCAGTTTAGATTTTCGGTTTTCTCTCAACTAAGTTAGAAATCAAGATGAAATGAAGTGATCTTTCTCTCTTGTTTTCTTTCCTTAAGTCTCGACTGGAATGGCAGAAATGAAGAGCAAAAGAAGTGTATTTTGTGATAAATATGAAAGAAATTGGTTGGTCAACAACCTTGGGATGCTCACCACTTGTCGCCTCAAGATTGCATCTTGAATTTTTCTTCTTTCTCCTTTCTTTTTTTGGTCAAGAATTTCGGCTCTCTCTCTTGGCTGATTAGGGATGATATTTTGGTACTAATGACAATGAGATTAAGTTAATAAAGTGGTGGTCAAGTGGTGTGTTCAATCGGTAGTGAACGGTACACGTCGGTTCACACCGTTTTTCCTTACCTTGCACGTACTAGGATTTTCACTTATAATTCACTCCCCTATTATTAATACTTCTAATCATACACTTTTTATTATGTAAAACTCATTCTTAATCATCAAATTTAGTACACACTTCGCACCGATTACTCACACTATGAAAAGACGTAAAACCCTAGTTTATCTTAACGATGAAAGAAAAGAAGAAACCCTTGCTTCTATGATTATTTGTAGCTATTGGGGAAGTGAATGTGTAGTAAAGTTACTGTAAAGTAATAAATTTCAAATTAAAGGAAATTTTAAGAAAAATATAAGGGATTTTACAAGTCCTCACATGCATCAGAATTTAACTGGACATAACCCACAGCCAATGTCAACCATGTAACAAGCATGGCTCACATCAATGGAACCTTTGTAATGCTGAAACATCAAACTAAATCAATGTCCTGATCATCTTTCACTTGACTTGGCTAAAGCATAAGAGAAGAGCCAAGCAATGCTGTAAATTGATTGATTTTAAGTATAACATTAGAGGGCTAAAATAATAATAGGTAATATTTATATAAGTGGGGCTTTTACATCCAATAATAAATATAAGATTAAATGCAAAGTCATAAATGCGAGAAAGAAGGAAAAAAATAGAAGTGCGAAAAAATGAAAACAATTTACAACAACCAATATGAACTTTTCATGACCTAAAATATTAAAGTATGAAAATAAATGTTGAAGTACAAGGAAAGCATTAATGGATGAACGTAAAAGAAGTTTATGAAAATTGCAATAGAATGAATGAAGGGTAACTTACTAGAAAGGGGAAGAGCAGGGAAGTGAAACTAAACTTAAAACAGAAGCATTAAAGATGAGAGAAACATTTTTGTTTAGGAAAGGGAGAGAAAGTTGTGTTTAAATCCGTATGAACCAAAGAGTTGTGAAATATTGAAATTTAATTAAAAGGAAGAGACTTATTAGTGAACTAAGAGTGTTTTGGGAAGTTGGTCTTGGACACATTTTAAAAAAAAGAACATAGTAATTATTATAACATAGATACCTGATAGGGCATCGAACCTGTGCAATAATAAAAATAGAACCTAACCACCACTAAAAGCAGTCAATAATTAATCCTAGGTACTGGAGCAGGGACTCTAGGTGTGCAATGGGTTACTTGATTCACCCTGTTCCCGAAGAGTTTGCTTAATCCGATATACCAGAATTAATTAGTTGGCAAAAATTACTAAATAGTAGACAGTGGCAAGTAGGATCGTCTCCTCAGGGACTGGGGATATTTGTCTCTTTTAAATTCCAATTGGTAAGGGGGGATTTCACCAGAATGAAGCTAAAAGCAATTAAACAATTCAACTAAAACTAAATAATTAACTAGCACGAATATAGCAGGAATTAAATCAAGAATAAATAAATCCTAGCCAAGGATGCAACTACTCAGGCACAGTCCATTTATCCGATCATTGATGCAAGAGAGGTTCACTTAATTTATTAATAGACTAGTTATAGCCATCGAGGAGCTCTAATGACCAATTTTTCCTTAATTTATAGATGACCAAGGTACGACCATTAATCACCCCTAACCAGAAAAGTATTCCTAGGTACGACCGTAGGAATTAATTTTTCAATTGCATTAATAGCCAGAAAAACCTAGCCCTAATCAATAACACGCTATGAGGGTTATTTAAATTAGATTGCACGTTTCCCTAATGTGTAAACACACCAGTTGCCACTAATATTAATCAATCAAACAATTACGGATTTAATTGACTAAATTGGCACGAGATTAATAAATCACATTGAATATCGGGCCCTTGAGATCCAAGTAATAAAATAATCCCATGAAAATACAAGCAGGCAACGTGCAAATATTAATAAATTAAGGAGCGCGTGAAAACTAATTAGATCTCACAGATTTTCGGGACTGCGCCGTCGAGTTGACCCTTGACTAGATGGAAGACTGAGCCACGCCGCATAATTAAATCACCACACGAGTTAATAAATTGCGAAGGCATTGTTTTTTACTAGAAAGTAAGGAATAAAGTATGTTTTTCCCGTTGGGGAATATTGTCGAACACCTGGCGTGCGTCAGAGGCCAGTCAGAGAAGGAAAACTAAAAACTGAACTAAAAGCTAAAACTAAAAGCCGTCTAAAAAGGATCTCCTTTTGCTTCTGTACGTCTTCCCTTAAAAAGCCAAAAGAAAGAAGCCTAAAAGCTATTTCCTGTGATCCCCACACATGTGGACAAAGTCTCCAAATTACTTCTTGGTCCAAGTCTCTCTACGTTGCTTTCTTTGAAAGGCCAAAATGACTAAATGCCTTTCACTAGCTTGTGGTCCCCACCAATTCAAGAGTCCAAGGTCCTTAGGAGTCTCCATTTTCCCATAAAAGTCCCTCCTTTTTGGTAATTTTCTGCTTTGTTCCTGAAATTAAGTCCCAATACCAAATATAAGTAAATATTAATAATTAAAACAATATTTGGCAAGAATAAAAGGGGAAATTAACAACAAAATTACTAACAATTAACACCCTATCAATACCAAGAAGAAAATGAATGGTAGATAAAAAAAAAATGCAAGGTACAATTTGTCAGCATTGGATACAAGTCCAATCATAGAGGCTACTTACATAGGTCAATTAGGAGGAAATTTAGTGACTAAGGTTTAAGTAAAAAACAATGGATAGGAGCAAGAATAGAAAAATGGCTTTTCCCAGTCATTTGGCCCTTTAAAAGATTCGATGAGATTTAAATAAAAATAAAAATAAAGAATAGGAGCAAAAATAGACAATTAAGTAAG